TATAAGGTTAGTGATCAACTCGATCGTTGATCGACTCTAGTTGATCGTGTTAGTAATTATGTTTTAATATTATTTAAATTTGTTATAAATTTGACGAAATATTGAAGTGTTTATTGGCAAAAATCATAAGTAAACTTTTATTACATAAGAGATGTATATTTAGGTATTGAAGTTTGTGTCTAGAGTCGATCAACGATCACTAACCTTATACGAAGAGATTTAGAGAGTGGCAGACTGACCCCAGCAGTGGCAGTTTTCGTGTTCGTGTACCCCGACAGCGTTTCCGGACCCCGGACCATTTAATCGAGACATAGGCCGGTATTCATAGTCAGTTCTTATATTCAAGACCGTCTTAAGTTCAGTCTTGAGGAGTTACGAACCAATCAGAGGGCCGCTTTAGCATCTTAAGACATTACTTAAGACATTCTTGAAATAAGAACCGACTATGAATACCGGCCATAAATATTTCATCGCCAATGATGGGGCCGCCATGTGTTCTGACGTAATGCTTTGGTGTCGAGATGCCCAAATCTGCTCATTTCCTCCAGCCAATCACGTAATTGGTCACGTGATCAAGTTGGCGATTCTCTCTACTAGAGGTTCTCTAGTCACATAGGTTTATTTTTTTACACGTTTTATCTTTAAGACTAAACTTCTTGAGTCCAAAAATCAATCAAACAGAAACAAGGTTTGTTTGACATGCGCAGTCACGAATTGAAAACGACTATCAGAGCGACAGAGAGGACTAATGAAGCGCAAGAGTGGGGGAAGTTATCCGCCGTCACTTTTTGGCCTACCCCCACTACCGATATTTGGCCGAGTTTACTCTCCTGGTTCTAATCTTCTTGCAAGGCCTGTTCTTTTTGCCTGCACTGTCTGAACTAGTACATACAGTGCAATAAGTTGAAATGAAACAAACGTATATCTGTTTCACTTCAACTTATTGCACTCTGTGTACCAGTTCGGTAAAAAGAACAGGCTTTTATGTGAGAGCTAAGCCAAGAAAAAATGTCAGGACTTCACCGGTGCTGAGACTTGAACCCAGTTAGAGGTTAGAGTTGCATGCACATATATCACACTTGTCACTTGCGCATGCGTACAATAACAGCCAATCAGACTTAGGCATGTATTACCTCGTCGCACCGTCCCGCAGTGGCTTCCCCCCCGCAACGTTATGCTCTGTCCCTATATTTCTATGTCCATGATTACAATACGGAGCACCGCAGCCACTTATTTTTGCTATAAATATTTATTTAAGTTATTATTTTTAATATTTAATACATCGACATTGATGATTTAATATTTTTTACGCTGTTAACTTAAATGAAAGAGAATATACAAATATATACATTACATTAAGGTTAGAATTAATAGACGAAGATAGTGTATATATATATATATATATATATCTTTCTCTCTCGTAGCATTTTGCCACAATCGCGCTCGTGTCCAGACTCTGGTATAGGGTCTCTAGTCCGAATTGACTTTAGAGACCTCACGTGGTAGGACCTTGAAGCTCTGGATCATTTTTATAATGCCTTTTTTTACAAGAAGATAACTCTACGAGCCTTCAGGAGCTTTTTTTGATTACAAATATCATAATTAAAACACGATTCATGTTATATTTTAGCCACAATTTCAGTATAAAGGTATGTATTTATAAGTGCAGAGCTAGGTCAGTTATGCTCATTTTTCTCCTCGAAGAAATAATATTTCCTTATGAAACCTGTTGGGATTTCTTTGTTATATTGCTGGGAAGGCTCGTACAGAGACAGATTTCGCAAATTGATTCTTGAAAATTTTTATTAATAAAATCATGTACACCTCAACTGCACCATAGTACACATCGAGTGAGATATCAGTACAAATTATTTTTTTCTCTTTTTACAAAAAAATAGCTCTGTACGAGCCTTCAGAAACCTTTCCTAATTACGAATATCACAATTAAAACGCGATCCATCCAATATTTTAGCCGTAATTTGGGAATAAAAAATTCATCTTCAACTAGAGGTCTCCATGGGTCTCTCCTGTCGACCCTTAATGCCTGGTTTATGCTTCGGTCTTAAGGACTTAATCCTAAAATACAGCCAATAGAGTTCAAATTTCGGTTAGAACTGGCAGCTTTATTGATTGAATTTTAGGATCTTGGGATTAAGACCTGAAGCATAAACCAGGCATAAACTAATTTTAAAACTAAGATTAAGACCGAAGCATAAACCAGGCATTTATCATTGGGCACGTTCAAGTTGACAAAGCGACTAGCCTAGAGATCCTATATGGAGAGATGGCCCAATGTCCGGCATGATGTTGTGAAACCTGAAATCACGTGATCTTGGAAATACGCGCCAATATATCAACTCCAATTTCGAAACATCACGTAACACTACTTGTTTATTACAACTTTGTTAACTCGAAGTTGTAATGAATAATCATTAGAAAAAGTTTATTTTTCGTAAATATAGAATTGTGGATAAAACAGACAAAATAGACAAAAACGTGCAAAACGTATTAAATTCGAATAAAAAAGTTGCTTTCCATTTACACACAGTGTGATACGAAATCTGAAGTGATATAAATATTTTATATTTAATCAATGACTTTACTACTTATTTATTTGGTGAAAACTTATCGCATAACACAGATTTCCTAACCTCATATTAGTCATATTTAATGTGAGTTAATCGGGGAGCATAGACTTTTGCATAACGCATAAACCATATACATAAAGAATTTGATTGGTCCACTGACTCATGCATAAGAAAATGGACCAATGAAATTCCTTATGCACATGCTTTATGCGTTATGCAAAAGTCTGTGCTCCCCGCTTTAACAAGACTTGATAAATCATACGATCTCGAGTTTGTGCAGATTGTTGGCAAAAAATCAATTGAATTGCCAGAATGAAAAAAAAAATAACACTTTTAGGTTAATTTACATATAAAATGTATGTATGTATTTATAAATGAATTTTTATGTATATTTATATATATATATTTTTTTTCCAAAATTTCTAGTGATACATTTTTGATGATTTTAAACTTACTTACTGTAAAAGAGACTCGTCTAAGTTAATTTTTGTCTCTGACAATACTTTTTATAATCATAAGCAGACGACGCTTCTCTCACTCTTACATTCGCTTCTTTCACTCTCACATCCGGTTTCACAACATCATGGCAGAACCAATCACGGATCAGTCGTCATTGGCCCATCTCTCCATATAGGATCTCTAGACTAGCCTGCTCGCCGAGCAAATGAACATAATTGGTTATTACTTGTAGATCCAACCAATCATATTCGATCGCTCGGCAAGCGTATACCTAGCCGCTTTGTCAATTTGAACGTGCCCATAGTTTTAACATAAACATTTTTGTATAGAAAAGTTTTTGTCTTATGACATTTCCGACCCGATCGAGTTTACTCTAATCTGGATTGGATTAATGACGTTTCATGCTCTCCTATTGGCAGAATCTGTAGAGTCCACCAATAGCAAAATATTTTCTAACCTAGGTTGGAGCAAACCCGGTCAAGACAAAAACACCTTTAGAATATTCCATAGATTTATCAGTAAAAGGATTTTTGAGCATTTTGGGAAACTCTGTATATATCTCGTGCTTTTATTTCTAAAATTCTGTAGTATTTATGTATACGTATTATACATATATGTATATATAACACACACCAGTACACCACACACAACACACGCGCGCGCAGATGTATGTAGTGCACGCTACAGCATGATAAGTCTGTTTGAATAGTATGTCAAATAATATAATAAATATTTATAGACTTGCTGAAATGATCAACGATGTGTTTAGTCAAGTGATCTTCATTCAATTTTTTATCAGTATTTTGGTACTATGTTCATCTATATATTATCTGTCTTCTCATATAACAGTTACAGACGTATTTAACTTCACAATTTATATATTTTGCTTGTTTATGCAAATTTTTGTTTATTGCTGGGCTGGCAATGAAGTTACGCTTAAGGTAGTTGTAGCCTAAGGTAGTCTATAAAAATATCTATATTTAGATAAAAAAATGATGTTTTGCAAAAGACTTTTACGACCAGACTTAATATAAGTCTCACACAGTTTCTAATGACAATTTAATTATTCGATCTAATCATTATTATTTGCATAGAGCGTTGCATTAGGCGAAGAAATATATCATATGGATTGGATATTAATGACAAAAAGCGAACAACAGGATCTACTGATGATTATGAAACGCAGCACAAAACCTATCAAATTCTCTAGTAGTTTCTTAGTAACATTGTCTCTGGAATCTTATAGCAATGTCAGTATTAAAATTAATACTATTTTATCAATTAATTAATTATAACACTATTTAATCTCTATTAAACTTGCTTATTTTATTTTATAGCTTCTGAAAACGTCATTCTCTGCATTTAATCTTTTGCAACAATTGTAAATGTGTTATTTATGTCTTTTGATAGACACGTGTACAATATATAATTATGAATAAATCGTTTATTGCATATATCTTGATATTTTTTCCAATGATGACAGGCTTTTTTTCCAATTATAGCATAACTTATTAACACCAGATACAAAAATTGAGATCAATGAATGATACGTACCTATACAGGTGATTCAAAATAAACGTTTTTCCTTAAAATGCCATATTCCTAAATTAATTCCAAAAAACGATTTTTCTTTTGCCAAAATTTTGTTTGAAGCTTAGTTTTTAAATTATAATAAGAAATAGTTAGTAAATGATAGGACGCGTAGAAAAGCCAGAAACGGCGTAACTCACTGTCCGACGCAAACAGTATATGTTATACACGATAGTGAAATAACACGGTTTCAACCTATCAGAAATCAAATATACTAGAATACACAATTTCTGACACGTTGAAATCGTGTTATTAATTCGCTATCTCTATCGCTATTCCATTACATTGTATCTTGGGCTTTCAGAAAAAAAACCGTTCACTATGAGCATTCAAGCTCAAGACACATAATGCGAGGGAATAACAATAGCGATAGCGACAGGATACACGCTTACCGACAACTGTCGGTGTCGTTAAGTAGCGATAACCAATGGTAAGGACTGTTCTAGGAGAAAAGTGCGATTCTTATTGGCTATCGCTATTTAACGACACCGACAACTGTCGATAGCCGTGTACAGAATATGAGCCATTCTGTAACTTCCTAACGATAATGTCGATATCGTTATGAAGCGACAATTTTCGGTTGCGCTAACGATGGTATAACGAAAAAGTTAAGCGGGGAGCACAGACTTTTGCATAACGCATAAAGCATGTGCATAAGGAATTTCATTGGTCCATTTTCTTATGCATGAATCAATGGACCAATCAAATTCTTTATGTATATGGTTTATGCGTTATGCAAAAGTCTGTGCTCCCCGCTTTATTCTATAACTCAGGATAACGATGCGATGTCGGTACAAGATATGATATCGACGTCGTTATCGAAACGACTATATTCGAATTGATATCACTCCATCGTTGTAAAATTGAACCAATCAAATCTCTTCCTTTATACACATTTCTCAATAAGTTTAGGAAAGTTAAAATGTCTCCATTATATTTATAGATCCATGATGATCATGGTTATGGTTAAAGGTTATGCTCAGTTAAGCGGGGAGCACAGAATTTTGCATAACGCATAAACCATACACATAAAGAATTTGATTGGTCCATTGACTCATGCATAAGAAAATGGGCCAATAAAATTCCTTATGCACATGTTTTATGCGTTATGCATAAGTGTGTGTTTCTCGCCTTAAGCTGGTTCTACATTAGTCGCAACGCAGCATCGCAAACATTGCGGTCCAATCAACATCAAGCTCGCTCGACTCTGATTGGACCGCAACGCTTGCGACATGCTTGAAACGCTGCGATGCGACTAATGTAGAACCAGCTTTAAGGATCATCTACAATAGGCACGTAATAAACGTAACGTAACCGTAAAGCGGCGCGCACAGACTTTTGCATAACGCATAAAGCATGTGCATAAGGAATTTCATTGGTCCATTTTCTTATGCATGAGTCAATGAACCAATCAAATTCTTTATGTATATGGTTTATGCGTTATGCAAAAGTCTGTGCTCCCCGCTTAAAAGTTGCAATATTTGAACTTTTATGGTTACGGTTACGGAAAGAGATCAAGTTAGGTTAAATTGGATTATAGATCGATACAAGTAAATAATATTGGAATATTGATTATAGATCTGTGCAAAATATGTAAATATTAAAATGCAATTGAAAAAAGATAACAATTATAACTAAAATACTTAATATATATATATATATATATATATATAAATTATACTTATTAGAAAGTAATAGATAGGCTAGATTCGGGGAGACGCTATTAGCACTATTTGTTTCATTTTATCTTCGTCGTCCATTAGACGTGATCACGTGAGACAAGGCGTACCACACAAATGGCGCTAATAGCGCGCTGCCCGAATGCAGCCTAGTCGATGTCCTGGTGACAGAGGCTCACGAATACTTTTTTACATCTCGCAATATTTCTAATAGTTTCTCGAATTGCGAAACAGTCATTCGTGTGAACTTAAAAAATTGCTCATGATCCAATTGTTCTTTATAAATTGGAAAAGAGTATCAAAATGACCTTTTTCCTTCCGTTGTAACAACGTAGGTCGAACACAAAATTTTCGTTTTGAAGTCTTTCTTTTTCCTCCGCCATAATTCCAAAATAATTGCAATTAAATTTACATTTACAAGAGCTGCTTTTCTTTGCAGAGAATTTATTATTTTTTTAATAAATATGTACGACAATAAAATCAACTTCAAATATCAAGCAACGAAGAGGTCAAAATACTCCGTAATTGTATTTTACAAGTACAGTTCCTTACGTTAGTTACGTTATCGCTACGGGCTGCCATTGTAAACGACAGGATTTAAGATATACAAGGGGCTACGTTCCGTTTAGGGCATATGCGCGCATTTTATATAGTGAGCGTCACGTATACTATAGAGGAATGCGCGCATATGCGTGAAACGGAACGCAGCCAAGGTCTGTTCTTTATTGCTGAACTTTTGCACCAATTCATCTTTTTTCCTTTTCCCTTCTCCGGAGAGAAGAGGAAGAAAGATGAACTAGTGCAAAAGTTCAGCAATAAAGAACAGACCTACAATCGATCCCCAGAAGTGCAGAAATAAAGAACAGACCTATATTGTCTACATATATTTATTTTGCCGCTCGATTAAATTGCGCCAATTGCGGAGCAATTAGTCCAAAGCAATCCAAAGGTATATTGAACAAAGTTTAAACAGTGTCGTGAGAAATAAATAATGCATTTATAATATAACATTGAGCAAGATTATAGGAAACATCACGTATTATAAATATGAATCCCACGGAAGCTGAAACTATTGCTGATTTGGTTCAGAATATGATTATTTCTTTATGTGGTGAACAAAAACCAGGTTAGTTTTGAAGCAACACAATTGCCGCAATATTTAGAAAAAGTTAACTGTGTATGCTTTCCTTTTAGAGGACACACTCGACACAAACATCGTTCTATCTTTATCATTCGTTGAATGTTAAGAAGGATAGAACGACGTTTGTGTCGAGTGTGTCATCTAAAAGGAAAGCATACTGTGTATGTTATTTTGTTATTTATAATTACTCCCATTTTAAAAAAATTGTTACACTATTCACTTTGAACTATATAATTAAGCATTATTAATGTTTCGTATTGTATATATAAATTTTCCATGTTTGAGATTGCTAAGCAGAAAGATGTAAATACAGAAAGGTAAAAAAATGAGTTTATTAGATTTTGAAATTTGAACTAGAGTTTATTAAATCATACATTATACATATATATATATTTAAATATAACTAGTTTTTTATTAATAAAATTATATGAACATTTTGACTGTACTCAGTCTTCATCAATCTGAATATAATTAACAAGATAAAGGAATCATAATAAAGTTCTTTATATTAAACATTAGAAAGAGATACACATAATACCGAACATGAAGTCATAATAATCATATCATAGATAGAACACACTATATGTTCTTCCTAATGTTTAATATTAAAAAGTTTTATTATAATTTCTTTTTTTTTGTTTATTGTTTTCAGGCTGAAATAAAAACTAAGTACAATTGAAACATTTTTATGATTTTATTGATAAAAAATTGATTTAATTTATATATATATATATATATAATGTATGATTTAATAAACTAATTCAAATTTCAAGATCCAATAATTGTGCTCATTTTTAATCTTTCTATTTATATTTTTTTGTATTGTGTTTCAGTAATAAAATGTTGTTTATCTCATATTATGAAGAGGTATTTCAAAAATGTCTTTTTATGATAGTACAATTATTTTGAGAATATATAGTAAGGTAAATTTAAAAAACTTAGAGCAAAAATCTTGTTGGGTTTTCTTGGTAAAATTTGATTAATTTGCATTATTATGTGTTTTAATAAACCAAACTTATTTGAAGAAGCCATTTACATATAATTTAACAAAAAATATTGGATGATATATAAAATGTCTTAAGAATTAATTATCTTCAGCAAAGTGGCATACTTTATGTTTGTTTTTTAAATTGCTGTACATATGTTTAAAGTTGTATATTAAAATATAAGTAATAATAATCTTTTCAAACATATTTGGATTTTAGCATATATGTGCCTTAATGAATTTTTATAATTATCACTAATATTTTTCAGATTTTTTAATAACATTTTAGTATATATATTTATATTTAATAAATATAAGTTGTAGTATATAAAGGAGTAATAAAAAATTTTTTTCTAATTTTCTATATTCCTTTATAAATATGTAATATATATAATAACACACACAAAAATTTATAACACACGCAAGTTAAAATATTTTTTATATTTTATAGAATCAATCAGAAGATTTATGCGTTTTTCCCTTGGCTTACTGTCATCTACTCAAGGTATAGAAACACTGAGAGAAGATGAAGTAACTGTAGCAACATATATAAAGAGTAAATTATCACCACAAGATGCAATACAGTTTGATAAACTGCATAATGATTTAAAAGATGGGGTAATATTAATTTTACATTCTTCTAAGCATTTTGTTTTGATAATATTTATTTTATTTATACTTATTTATTGTACATATCAATCTTGTTCTTTCATTAGCCCTTGAAGAATCGTATAAGCATTCTAATATTTCTGTTGAACATGGGTCAATCGGTGGAACAAATAAAGGACAGGATCTTTTCATTTCCAGATATGAAATCAGAATTAAGCCCAATTGCATCAACTAGTGGTAAGACTACTACAATCGACATTTATCAGAGAATTGTCTAATAATTTTTTATATTTAGGACAATTGTCACAAACATCATGTTCTCCAGCGCAAATTATATCATTAAATACTACAGAAACAAGTTCAAAAGGATTATTAATAAATCCAAATAAAATATTCAATGAGGAGTCCATTTCAGAAGATGTATTAGTTCAAGACTTGATATATTCTTTTCAAAGTGTTGAAGGAAAATTTTTAAAATTAGACTCCAGTTATGGATTTCAGATAGACCCTGTAGCAAAAATTAATAGATCACAAAAACAAGCTGTTTTAAGACTAAGTGAACTGGGATATTTACATAGTGTAGTGCGAAAAGGGTTAAAGAGAATGTCTGTAACTGGTGCAGGTAGAGTCACCGATAGCTTTGTTGCTGCATTACATAAGGAATTGTCAGAATATTACAGATTCATAGCCATAATGCAAGAAGAAGTGAATAGGTAAGAATTAAATACAGTGATGGTGGTATATATTGTATCAAATGGCGAATTCGGCACACATGTACTGATTCGGTTCTGGTGCTGCTCTGATACGATGCTAGTGAGGAACCACTTTAGTGCTATACTAAACTGTACTTTCTTGAACTTGTTCAGTTTATTTGGTTGGTCCGAAAATATTACATAAATTCAGCATTATACTGGATGAGTTTTCATTTATCGAATACAATAATCTGAGCGCACTGATACAGCTATACTGCGCACTATCCGAATGTGTAGTACTGAAAAAGTTTGCACTCAATGCGCATTAGTGCAGTTTGCCGAATCCGCTAAAAGACATGAGGATCACAAAATTACATTAATATTATAAATCCAATAACAATATTTTCTTTACTTGAAATCCATTTGGAAAATATCTATAATATAATATCATTTATAATAAAGTAATATAAGCGTAATTAAAAAAAAAACAGGTCTCAACATCAAATGGTTACATATAAAGTTACATTATCCCATTTACATCTTTGGGCATACGAGCCTTTGGAAACTCTGAAATGGTTAGCAAGTATAGTAAGAGCTTGTCAAGGTCAAAAAGGTGGTGCATTAGCATCAACTGTTTATGAATTTAGTTATCATGGAGATGCTATTGTGAAGAATTTAGTCAAAAGAATTTTGGAAAGTATTTGCAATCCTTTATACAGCATGTTAAAGAGATGGATCGCTGATGGAGAGTTAGACGATCCATATAAGGAGTTTTTCATTCAAGCGTGCAATGATGTTAGTGGAGATAGAATGTGGCATGAGAAATATCAAGTGAGAAATTCAATGGTGCCATCTTTTCTTAGTAAAGCACAAGCGAAGAAGATTCTGGGAACAGGAAAAAGTATTAATTTCTTACGTGAAGTTTGTAAAGATTTTTCACCATGGCAAGATAGACATGCAGATATGTTTAGGAATACTGATGAGGAATATAATGGTCAGTAATAATAATTATGCTAACTATTGATAATTGTTGCTACAAGATGATCTTCATATTGTCTTTCTGGATAATATTTGTATCTAAAAATATTTACAATTTATAAAAATTTTGATTAATATCAAATAGATTATTTATTACAACTTTGTCTAATTTTTGGAAGGATATTTAATATTTTTGTATTTCTTTTAGTTGAAGTCTTTTTTGATATGGATCCAGATGGTCGTTTGCAAACTATGATGGATGCTGCTTACAAAGAAACTTCAACAAGAGTTGTTGAAATATTGACAAAACAATATCATCTTATGGATCATTTACAGGGAATTAAGGGATATCTTTTGCTTGGTCAAGGCCATTTTATTCAACATCTTATGCACTTATTAGAGTAAGAATATCTCTTGTACAATGTGCGTGCGTGCGTGCGTGCGTGCGTGCGTGCGTGCGCGCGCGCGCGTGTGTGCGCGTGTAAAATTAATATATTAATATACACAAATACACACTAATATATAGATTTTAAAATATATTATTAATATTTATTAATTTATTTTATTAATTATATTCAGGGAATGGAAGTAACTCGTTACTT